ATAGAATAGTAGTGTGGGCATAGAAAACTATTGGTAGGGTACTTTTCTATACCAATAAAAAATGCTTTTGATAAACCTATATAAGATATTTCAGATTGAGAAATTGAGTATTATCTTTGCCCTGACTCAGCTGTATGTATTGGGACCCAAAGGCAGTGCTACAGTGTGCAGAATCTCAATTTTCTGTTTTTTGATATTTTTATCCTAAAATACAATTCTATGGTGATAAAAGAGATCCTCAACCATGTTCAGCAATGTATGTGAGTATGTATGCACCATCTTACACAGATTGACAGACACTTTTTACATATGTACCACCCACTTTTGGCAAAAAAAGTTGCATTAATAATTTAATGCAACTTTTACATCACGGTGAGAAAATTTCTCACCATGTATGTATATGTAAAACCACACAACAGTGTGCTTGTTAGAAAGGTTCGGTAACCAAATAAAAAGCAAAATCACCACGGTGATAATGAATCACAATGGTGTCTTTTACCATTTGGTAAACAAGGTCATTTGTTGATCGAGTTCAAAAACCAAAAAAAAACTTAATTGCTCTCATTGCTCTCAATATCATCTACCCGTTCAACTTCTGCAATTATTTTTTAAGCAATTTAATTGATGATAACATGGTCAATGACCAAGCTCTTCACTGTTGGCAGCAAAGTTGAATTGGTGGAAATGAAGTCTTTTGAGGAAGTTGGATTTGAGTCTGAATCAACACCACGATGAGATTGAATGGATTTGAGATTGAAAAGTTTAAGTAGAGAAAAAGGTTGAGGTGGTGATGATTTGAATGATGTGCAATTGAAGAGAAAAGGACTTGTAGAAAACAAAGAAAAAAATGGTGAGGTCCGAAATAACAGGTGGTGATGGCTTGAGAAGAGAGAACGATGAAAAGTTGCAGTCACATTAATTTGAAAATATTTGACTTTGAGTTGTTTTCAAGAATGCGCACAATCTTTGCACATATGTGCAAAAATCCGTGTGTCTCTTTTGTTGCATTTTTGTTTACCAAACGAGATTTTCAGGTGACATATGCGACCGAAAATCACTGTGCTTTTTTGGTGGTGCACAGTCGGTCGCATAGTTCACACACCGGTTGCTGAAGTGGGTGTACAATATGACTGATGGACCATGCTTTCCCATTGGACAAGGCTCAAGAAGGGCTTTGAGTCTAAATTTATATTCAGTCCCTGTGGTCATGTGGATATTTTCATCTGTGGGTATAGAGCAGAATGGTATGTCTAGGCAGAGAGGATACTATCTCTATGGGTATAGAAAAGTACTTCACCCATAGTTTTCTATGCCCGCACTACTTTTCTATACCCCTGGGTAAAGATGTCATTTGGTGTAGTGAATTAAGGCTCAAGTTTCACTCTCAAGTCAATTGTCTCATCATAGTTTTTTATAGTTGAAAATTGGGTGAATTGATTACTTCAGACCATCTCATTATAATAACAGAAAAGATACTCACAAACAGAACAAAATAAACAAAGCAGAAATGATAAGCAGAAAAGAAAAAAAAAGGAAGAAACACAAACCCAACTATACAAGTCTAGGCAAAATGATACTGTCGTTCTCCAAAAGCTTGTCCAAGTTTTCCCAACCCTGGGCCAGCAACGCACCGCGGCGCAACAATCGTTTTTTTTGTTGCGTCGCGGCGCAGCCGGCCAAAAAGTACCGCAACATCGGCTGCGTTGCTTTTCAAACCGCAACATCAAATCCCAACCACCGGAAGCGCAGCTCGAGACAGTCGCGCAACAGCAGCGCAACAGGCACAGCAGCGCTCATTGATGCGCCAGCAGCCCAGGAGATACGTTGCAGCAACGCAGCATCCGCAACACACCAAACAATGAGGAAAATGTGAAACATTTCGGTCATAAGTTCAAAAAAACAATTCCAAAAAAACAATAGTGATAACTTATTAAGAAATAAGTTCAACCTGAGGATACAAATCATTTTTCGCGAGCATTTACTTTGTAAAACATTAAAGTAAGATAAGAGAAAATTAAGGCCAGTTGGTTACTATCAATCCAAGGTCACATTCAAGTTCTTCAGAATAGTAGTAAGCTCCGCGTATTCCACACCCAGATTGACACCTTCCCTCAACCATAAACGACTCGACACCAAAGCCTCAATGGTGCGTGCGAGGAGGCTACCTCGATCACTTGCACAAACGTCCGCGGCACAAGAAAAAATTCTTTTGGCTGCGCAAGATGACCCAGTAGTTGCCAAGTAATCGCGCGCCATAATGGCAAGAATTCGATAGGTCTTTTCATGAACCTAAAAACGCACCAATCAATTTTGAACTGAGATTGAAATCAAACTCTAATTGATAACTTACCGACCACCATTCTAGTCCAGCCTTCGGGTCCGCCAGGTTGTAATCTTTCTGGCGCATCCTGTTGGCCATTCGTAAGTAGTTGTCCAAGGAGTTGTCGATAGAAACTGCTGGTTCGTCCTTGTCATCAGTGTCTTCATGGAAAATCTTTGATTGTTGCTGAGAAGATGTATTAGAACCGGTGCCCGCAGAAACCTCGTTTGGATTACCAGTACCGCGAGATGGGTTAGCAGATTCGTACTCCAAAAAAACGCGGCACAGGATTCCCTCAGCTTTAATGGGTATGGCACTGGTTTTACCATTGAACCACTTGGTGAAAAATTTCAGTCGAAAAAAAGGATGTAGCAATGTTGCCAGGATGAGCGAATCGCAAGCTAGTGCCTCGTCGAGGTATTCTTGAGTCTTTGCAAGCATTTTTGCCAACATCGGGTACACAGCATCACTTGAACTCAATTTGTCGACTTTGTCCTGTAAAGTTTGACGAAGCTCGACGTATTCCGGTATTACCATACATCCGGTGGGGCCGTCTCCTTCCATCTTCTTAGTGGTGGCAAGAAATATCTAAGTTATACGAAATGGTGTCACTACAAGTTGTACAACATGAAGTAATATATACATACCTCAAGTTCAACATTTATGTGTCGCACCTGAGCCCACTCAGCAGTGGTTATTTCCATCTGATGAAAATAACCATATGGTTTACCATTACTGCGTGGGCGTCGACCAACAGCGAGTACTCGATCCAAATCCTCCTTGCACAACTGATTAATGACCTAATGAAGTATGATTAATTAGTTTGGTCTACTCATATGATATCCAAAGTGAAAGATATATAAATGGAAAGATATATAAATGATCAACCTACATCTCTTGCGAGCCATGCCTTGTGTCGGCTTTCGTACTTGATGTTCCACCTAATGCCATATCCAGCGATGAGAGACCCCTTGAAATCCTTCTTGACACTGACACGGTCAAACTCCTTACGCCAGGCAGCCAACCAAGTGATTCGACGTATGATAAAGTCGACCTAAGCGGAGTTGAAATGATTAAGTCACTTTATATATTTATATGTATAAAAACATTTACAAATGAAAGGAAAAGCGTCACCTTGCGTAAAATAAAATCCACGTGATTAGCTTCGCGGCGATGGGTGGGAGCGACCTCCTCCTCCAGAGCAACAGATGGTGACATCTTGTCTTCGGCATCAGCAACATCCCACTCTGCCTCATCAGCTATTGCAGCTCCTTCATCACTCAGAACTTCCGGTGTAGGTGTAACTTCTAGTTCGTCAAGATTGTGTTCAGGTAATTCATCTTCATCTTCCACTGTCTTCTGTTGTTGTTCTTCATCTTCTTCATCAACTTCTTCGATTGTACCAATTGTAGGAAATATACCTCTAGCTGCTGATTTTACCTTTGCCGGGGGGGGAGCCTTCACACCAAGTTCGGCTAGTCCGGCATTGACAATTAGCGCCAGTTTGTGACAAAAGCAGAATATATGCATTCTGCTTGGGTCCCATTGATACTTGATTCCTTCAGTCTGTGGTTGTAAAGCAAATTGTCGATGCATCTCGGCCACCATCGTTTTATTGTTCGAACCTGAGTCCGTTGTCTGGCAAAGGATGTAAAACACAAACGGAACATGAAAGAACATTGTGACAGAATTAATTTGGAAAATTAGGACTAGTGGAAGAAGGAAGAAAGATAAGTGAAATACACTTATCTTTTGAAAGATGCCATGCTTGACCAAGAGGTTCACGATGGGCTCGGCTAGCCACGGTCCATGGTGGTGCCAAGCCACAACTTTGAGGGTGACATGTCGAACATGATATTTCCACTTCGTATCAATAAAAGTTGCGGAAGCTCCTATGAAACCGTGATGGTTACCTTTGCTGGTCCATCCATCGTGGACAAGGTTGAACCGAGATGTAAGTTGCTGTTGTTTTGTTCATAGAGGATGATATAGTTAGAATTCAACAATGAAAGAAGATGAAGAGGAAAGTCGATTTACCTTGAGTTCCTTAAAAACGTTCTGTTTCAGAGAAGAATTGATAATCTTTGCTTCACCTGCTACCCATTTACGGCCGTAAAGCCTAGCTTCACGTCTAAGATAGAAGACCATGGCCCGTAGCATTGGATCTTCCACTCGTGTCCAAGGCAGGGCATGTCGGATTAGCCATATGCTAGCCATTTTGTTGAACGTGCTGTTGCTGAACTTCGATCCGATGGTAGTGCTGACATATCCATCAAGGGGGCCGCTTTTCTTCTTCTCAGCTAGTCTACGCTCCGCCACCGACAAGGGTACACCCAGTTCCTTATGCTCTCGAGCTTTGAGTCGCCCAGGGCAGCCAACGTCCGAGCGGCCGGTTTGAGTCGATCCATCTCGGTGAACCCGAAGAGCACCAGTCATGTTGCTGTAACTTACTCTTACAGGATTGTGCTTATCTTTCTTGCAGAACTTGCACGGGTAAGAAAGAGGTGGCTTTGATAGATCCTAATTTACAGATAAGAAATCTCACAGTTAGATTTCTTCTTTATGTAGAAAGTACAAGAAGAATACAAATATATACATCGCCTGGTTTATGGAATGGCTCATCATAGTAACCTCTGAGCTGGCCTAATTCGGTATCTGGTTCATCAACCTTACAACGCTTCTTCGCTACAAAGACAACCTCATCGTCGGAATCAGCTTGTAACACTCGTTTGGTTACGTTCGTCGAGATGTGCTGAATTGTTGACAAATTCATCTGTCAACCAAGTTTATAACGATTGATAAAGAGGTGATGTAAAAAACTCACATCATCTGAGGGTGTGGGCTGGCCTGTGACATTCTTGCTGGTCTTAGAGGTTCGAGACTTGGATTGGGATACCACCTTCTTGGTGTGTTTCCCTTTGGAACGCATGCTGACAATCGAGGTATCAGATTCCGGTTTGTCAGTATTTGGAACACCGTCATAAGTCTTGTCTTTATGTTTTCTTTTCGAAGGTGTTTGATCGATCACACTTCTGCGACGGCAGTCAGGGGATTGAGGGACCATCCCAGGGTAGTCGGTTTGCTTCCTATTGCAAGAAGGTCTGGAAGGCGTATCATCGACATCATTTGCATGTGAATTGTATGGCAAGATGGACTGAGAGGACATGGTGATGATGTTAATAGATTTGTTGATGAAGCGATTAAGAAAGGATGAGGAAAAGTTATATAAGTAGTTATGCGTTGATTGGGATGTACGTTTGAGCTGGATTTTGAGAATCAGAAAATTAAAGATTTATAAACAAGGTCAGGTAATTGAAGAAATCAAACAAATTGAAAAATTAAGATGGAATGATTGTTAAGGGAGTATTGAAAAACTAGGAATCGGATGGATTGAATCACGAGGAAAGGAAAAATGGAAGGATGAGATTCGAGAAGGATGGGAATAGGAGGCTGGAAGGTCTTTTACCTGGACTCGGATTCTGTCTTGGGCCATCCCTGGCATGTCTTCCCCTGGCGTGAAGGTGTCTACAGCGCGAATGATCCAGATTGGCATATCGAAAGCGTCCAAGTGACTCCGTTTGGGGTGGTGGTATGGTGCGACAACAGGGGATCCTTGCCATATTGGGAATAGCACAGAATGGCAAACCCGGACCGCAACAACCGCATCTGCTGCGGTTTTTCAGCAGCAGTTACGGGGTGCGTTGCGGTGCCAAAAATTCCCAAAATCTGGAGGCCTGGGTGCGTCCCGGGTTCCAGCGCAGCGCAAAACCGCAACATCAGCTGCGCCACGGTCCCAAAAACCCGCAACGCCGCGCAGCGCAACACGCATCACGCGCGTTGCTGGCCCAGGGTTGGTTTTCCCGCCAAATTGCTCGAGTTTTGCGGGAAAACTCGGACAAGCTTTTTGAGAATGACAGTAATACAAAATATCAAACAAGATGGAAACAAAAGCAGCTTTAGTCAGTATAGAAAGGAATTAAAGAAGAAGAATTAATCAACTGACGATTGAAACATTTCAATTTGAACATTATTAATGGGAGGCACGAAATCGAATTGAAAGAAATCTATTGATCAATTGATCTAGAACATTCTGAACCAGCCAACTAAATCAATGGTTAAACAAATTCAAAGTATCAATTAGTCTTATGTAAAGAATCAAAAGAAGAATAAAAAAAGAAAGAACTTACATTTTTAGAATTGTGTCGATTGGAAGGAAACATTCATGTCGAGTCGATGAACAAAACAAAGAAATCAATCAAAAGATAACAAGAGTACGAGATCAAGTAAGAAAAGACCAAATTAGAACTAAAAAATAAGAAAGTAGAAATAGAAAGCGTAAAAATAAAAGAATCAACAATGAGAAAGGAAAGAATCTATAATAAAAGACTTACTTGATATGTGAAAGCACAAGGACGGATTGAAGATGAGATCAATCAAAGAATCAAGCTAGAACAAGATTAAAAATAAGAAAAGTCGAAATAGATACATCAACATAAAGATTGAATTGAAGGAGGCAGTGTTGAAATTAGTAAAAATAGGAATAAACAACAAGAGAAGGAAAATAAAAATAAAGGAATACATACTTGGTATGTAAAGGAAGAGCATGAGATCGAGACGAGGGAGTGGAATCAGTCGGAGCTGGTCTGAGCTAGATAAAGACAGCGATTGGGCGATTTAAAAATACAAAAGAGTTGGTGAAGGAGTTTGGGCCGAGTTGTGGTTGGAGAGTCAAAAGGATATAAAAGGGAGGGCATTGGTGTCCTTGTGAATCGGGGTATTGATGTCCGTGTGTTCTTGTGTGCGATAAAGGCGTGTTTAAGTTGTGATCGATTTTTTTTAGTGTTAACAAGTGTTCTATTTCCAATTTCAAGAGTTATAAAAAGACAGTTTTTTTTATTAGTTACTAGCATCAGATTAAAAGAAAGAAAAGAAAGGAAAGAACTTACCTCATAAGGAGGTTGATTGAGTTGGTTTATTGTTAAAGAGAGCTTTTGGTGGTGGTTTTTTGTTCTATCCTGTGCTTGTGTCGTGATTGATTGCTGAGCTGTGAGCCGAAAGACAGTCGCCAGATAGTCAAAGTCGTCAAATCAATAATCACCAAACCCGCCTCTTGATTCGAGTCGAGGCCGGGTCAATTCAGGGATCCAAAATTTCATTTTGGACCTGTACATTACAAGTGTTACCCAACCGTGTCAACATTGAAATCAACACATCTTCACACCACAATCTTGTGTAGAGTTGTGAGTGGTATCATTGGATTCCGACAAACCTTGCAGATCCTTTGAAGATATCAAAATAGTTTTACGGGAGGAATACGTAGAGATAGAAAGTTATTTAGAATTGCTTCACGTTCTTTTTGAACTGCAATAAAATAGAGGTTGAGGGCAGCTTAACCGCACCCATAGTTTCATCCGCTCTCACGAGTGGTGATTCTTACCCTCTCCGGCTCAGCCTACCCTACACTGCGTAGGAGCTCTACAACGCCATGCAAGATACCAAGCTACCAGGCCAATTTACCAATCCCTTGAGCATGGTTCCAGTCAGAAAGCTTTGATGAACATGGATAAAGTACTTTAGACTAGATTTTGTCAAGACAAACAAGATAACAAATGTTTATTCATTGTGGATTCTTTTGGCAGATTTGTAAGCTTATTCCATTTTAATGATAAGGTCTCATTGATTGAGACCACACAAATTTGAATCAGATGACCATTGAGCAATTTAAAATAAAAGGGAGACAAACAACAATAGACACAAAGCAAATTTATCTGTATCCTGTCTACCTTCATCCATGTGCCTCTTCGCATGTACGTTCATGTTGATTTTCTGCTGGACATTCCCAATGGTAGTAGGTCTGATCACAGATTGTGCAATGATATTTTTCTTTGTCCACTTGTGTTTCACAATTCCCCACTGTTAAATCACAATCACAAGTGAGTGGATAGTCACAGGCCTCTCGTTGTATTCCTGTATACACGAGGTCATCTGTGCAAACATCACATGTGAGACCACTGGATAATGAAATCACAGAAACAGACACCAAGAATCCTAAGGTGATACGTTTGTTGAATTGCATACCTGAATAAGATCATGCATAATTGAGTAACTGAAATTAGATGCTTAATTTATGATCGTGGGGCTAATATAAACTTACTAAAGAGGTGATTTCCTAATGTTTATATTAGGCCTTCAAATATACCAAAAGAATATGTTGATGGCAGTGTTGATGGAATGATTGATGTAGTGATAAGATTCTAGGAAAACACAATACATAAGGAGGTCAGATTTTCAGACAATAAGCAGATCAGGTTGGAAGTATTTAGCCAGAAGACCTTCCAAAATCAGTTTTAATTTTTTTAATACATTAGGAGAAATTTATGATTCTTGAACTTCACTAACCCAATGGCATGCAATGAAATGGGGGGGACTAGGTATCTGAGAGCTGACCAATTGAAGCAAGAAAGTGGTATGACCAGTTGAAAAATTCAATTAAATGCTTTCTGAAATTCAATGGGGAAAGTTGAGTGCTTGATGGCAAGAATTATAGACCTTTGGAAGTTATGGAGGTATTTATGTTCATCCAAAAGGCCAAATTGGTGCTACATGGTTTGGGCCTCTCATCAAGAAGATTGGTTTCAGTCACATTTCTTTACATCATTGGGCGGCGACAATCAAAAGGATCTATCATGTGTGCGTTGGCCCAATTCAGAATTATATTCCTTGGATGCTTGGTAATGTGCCTGAGGATAAGTATTTTTATTTTGATATTCCAAACACTAGTCTAGTGATACATGTTTTGGGTGTCTTATCAAGAAGAGTGGTTTTGGTCAAATCTGCTTACATCATTGGGCTGAGACAATCAAAAGGATCTATCATGTGTGCCCCTTAGTTTGAGGGGAAATTATAGTCCTCAAACACTTGGTGATGTCTGCGAGGCTGAGTCACTTGATCTTTGTGTGCCAAAAACGGGTACATTGGTACATGTTTTGAATCCCTTAGCAAGATGAGATGTTTCACTCACATCTGTTTGCATCATTGGGCGGGAACAACACCACCGGTGCTCCACCCAAGATAGTGGCAGAAGAGCAGTAGCACTTCCTGCTCTCCGCCCGCGCTAGGCCTTTTTCTATACATTGGGTTATGGGTTTCACTAGATAGCTATGGTGAAACTCAAAAAAATATTGTGATTTTGAGATCCGCTATCTGTAGCAGTATCTTGCTGTGCTATTGACTGCCACAGCAACCTGGAGCACATAGCAACAGGGAGACACAGAGCGTAACTCAGGACCCCAGAATGCCCCTATAAAGGGTTTTGAAAAAAAAGTCCCTTCTTGACTTCCACGGATCCCCACCCCTGCCAAACGGCTGAGTCCGTTCCTGGCTACACCCATAGCTCTAAGGGGGTCTTAATTTCTCCTCAGACTTCCTTGAGACCTGTCACAACTCCTTTATTAACTTTGAAACTCTAGAGACAAATGTCAGCAGGGGACTCAAATTATGCACTGAACACTGCAGTTCAACATATGTCAGACTCAGAGGCTATATCTTTCACCAATTGAGGATTCTTAACTATTCTTGAGCATTGGGACTATTGATATTCTATGACGCAAGTGGTCTCAGAGACAGCAGCCATTGGCATTGCAACGTTGATGCCTGTCTCGGCCCATAAAATCAGGGCCTGCAATCTGAATTGCCTTCATTCAAAAGGGTCCTGTTGAAATAAAATAAACCAATTGGACTTGGTGGACCAAACACATCAGACTACGTAGCCAGAGATTGCCCAGTTGGGATACTTGAGGCACTCGCCACCATCCCTTCTAACATAGATTGATGCCTGATATCTGATTCATCATTGGCCTCAATCATTTCCTATGCTCTATACTCAAAATTCTTGCATCTCTCCTTTAAACAATGCATTCATCTTCATTTGCTCCAAAGTCATTCAAGCCTACTTGTTTCTTCAAAGATTGTTTTAATTTTTATGCAAACTGCTCTTCCTGTCTGCTTCTAACCTTGAGATCATCTCAACGCATAACCCAGAAGCTAGAGGTGAAGCAGTAATTGCATACATGTTACCACAATTGACAGAGCTTCAAAGAAGTCTGAATATACTGCATTTGCATGAAAGCTTGTAAAAAAAGTTTTTTTTTTGCTTGAGAGGCGCAAAGATGGCCCCAATCCAAAAAATACCCAAAGCCGGATCAGCTGGATGGGGACTGATCCAAACCCCATCCAGCGCTTTCATGGTTTTCAGCTCAAAACCATCGATCCATCCACCCTCATCCACCACTTTCAATTGATCTTGATCTCAATCTCTCCACCACTCAACTTCACTCAACTTCACTCAACTCATTTAAAATCAATTTTATTATCAACCCTATTATATCAATCATGCCCTTTGTCAAATACTCGGCCACAGTCAA